CTCTCCATCTTTTCTCACTTCTCAAAATAAATGTATTTCACACACTGGGGGAGAAGGAAGCATGAAGGACCACCAGCTTCTAACACTCTGCTCTGCCCCCTCCCTGGGCTTACCCATGGAATGCACCAATATCCACACCAGAAACATCAAAACAGTCAAATACAGACATAAAATTAAAAAGCACTGATCTTACCTGCCATCTCTGCAGAGCTGGTAAGACTGAGAAACAAGCCAGTCCTTTATAGCACCTGCACCAGGGCAGAAATCACCTGGGTCTGATCTGGGTGTGGCCAAAAAGGGAGAAACTGGGACCAAATGGAGCCAAGAGGAAATATCTGTTGGTTTGCTTTCCTGGATTAAGCAAAAAGGTGCTCACTTCTCCATTCCTTCTGATTAAATGTTGACTTCCTTTCTGACAAGTCAGTAAAAAGGCAGAAAAAGTAAAAGCACACATTTCTTTTCTGCAAGTGAAAGAGATCAGCTTAATTTTATGATGGTAGAAGATGATGGTGGAATTTGTCTTCTTTTCCCCTGTTGGTTGACATGTCCGATGGTTTGGGAAGCCAGAAATGGGTCATTTTGCCAAAACACATTTGTGGAGTGTATCAGGGTCTGAATACAGCACGTCTGAATGGTGGACCTGCCAAAATTTATATCTAGGTAAACCAAAGTTGCATCCCATTTAAAATTGCTTAGTGAGATGGTTTGTATAATTAAACAGTAGTCAAATCATCAGTAATTTGGAAATGCATATAAAATAACTGCTGAGCATTGTGGATGACAAAGACTGGACAGAGAACAAGGAAGCTTCACACAGAAAGCTCGAGCTGTCTCCAGTAAAGTCATGTGCATAATAATGTGGACAATCACAAAGTTACATCTGTGCAAATAAGAACAAGTCAAAGGAACAAAATGGGAGATTCCATCCTGAAATATCCAGAAGGGAACAAAGTGTTGGGTAAGCTGAGCACTTCAACATGGATTACAACAGCTATACAGTTGGAAAAAGGGCTGTACTTCAGTGGACAAATGGGAAGGTAGCAGAAATAATTGGATTCTTTGAATTAAATTATCAGTCAGGCTGATCACAAAAGAAAATGTTGGATTGTTACTGACAATCAACCGTGTAAATCTAAAAGGATTAGGTAGCCAGTCCTTCCTCTTGTTTAAATATTTTCCCAGTCCTTATTAAGCCAAAATAAATAAAAAGAAAATATGAGAAAGGAAACTGATAAAAAACATGTATCATTTTAAATCTGGAAGAAAAAAAAAAGATTTATGAAGGTCAGGTTTTCAGAAGCTGAAAATATATCATCAATATGTCTCCCCTAAAGAGAAATTCAAAAGCAAAAGCAGAAGCTGGCCTCTCATTTCAGAGGGACTCTGATCACCTTGGCAGGTGCTCTACCTTGTCCATCCAGCCTTCTGCTTACAAAATGTATGTAAGCAGAAGTCCGGGTACCCGAAGGGTGGTTTTGCTAATTTTTTTCTGTTTTGACACGTACCATTGCAATTGCACCTCAGTGACAGTCTGGGAACCCCCGGGTGCCCTTGGCACAGGGACACTGTTGTGAGAAGTAAGGAAGCAGTTAATAAAGTTTTGCTTTCGCCAAGAGTTAATTAAGAAGGCGTAACGGGACACTTAGGGTTAAAAGTACATCGTAAATCCCTCAGAGTGGTTAGAAGTACATCATAAATTCCCGAGATAAGAAGCTGAGGGACTGAAGCCAGGTGGAACCAGAGGAAGTTGAGAAGTTCATGCTGGTGAAGACTCCTAACTTCATCCACATGGACCCTCCAGACGACCACCAGGACCAACTGTGCATAATCAGGGGGCGAGGGGAGAAGGGCAGAGTTATGTAAATGACTTCCCAGGAGTAATTGTAATATCCCCTCCCTGTCCCCAAAATCATAATGAATATGTAGTAGCATCTATGAGGATGTAACCGGCCGTGGTATAAACCACCTGCTGACGACTGTGACCGCGCTACGGTCATGATCTTCGCTCCACTGACTTTGTCCCCAAATAAAATACGTGAAAACTATTTACGTGGGCTTGTTTCTCACAACCAGGGGCTCTTCTGGGATAATCAAAGCCTCACCGCCGTGGAGCAACGGCACGCCTCGCTGAATTTAGTGGTCTCTTCAGCTCCCTCCAGCACCATCAGAGGTTGATGGTAACGACCCCGGCGGGGGACTCGTTGATCAAAGAAGTGGCTCCCTGGGAATTACCGCAGCA